TCTTTCCGTGTATATATATATATCTTGCATGTTTATTTTTCAGGCCCATTTTCATAATATATGGTTAACGAAAAAGTTAGGTTAATAATTAAAATTTGAAAATTAATTAAAACTTCATAAGCTTATAGTCGCAAATAAACTATAAAGGTTACGTGTACATTAGGGCTTCAATATTTGTTCGAATTTGACGTTATCCGGATATCCATTTATCCGGATTACGAATATAATTAAATGTGCTTCAAATTCGGGTTATCCAGATACCCGAATCTTCTAAGATATCCGAATAATAAAAGTATCTTATCGGATCTGGATCCGTATTTCGAATTCAAATCTGGATTCGCAACAAATTTAGATTCGAAATCGAATTTAAGTTTGTAGTAGATTTGGATTCGAATTTGTATATAAATTCGATAACTAAATATGAGAGTGAAAAAATGTGTTAGATATAGCTAAAAGAGTATATCTTTAAATATAATAGATAAATTAAAGTGCATTTTTCAAAAAATAAATTTATGTTATTTTAAAATTATAATAAAATAAATACATAGCGGCTGTAGGATGTATTTTATTCGAATTTAGATCCGGATCCTAACTCAGATCCGGATTCGAATAATCGGAATAATCCAGTTTTGAGATTCGAATTGAAATCGATCTTGAATATCCGAATACTTAAAAGCCTTAGTGTACGTTAGTTGAGTTAGTATCAAGTTAATTTGATGGTTATTGAGTCCTACACTGCAAATTCAAGTGTGTAAATCTGTAGTCTGTCACTTTTTACGCATTTATACGCGTGTTATATTTTTACACATTTTATCTGTGTTTTACACAGTTAAAATACGTATTTTTTACGTATTTTTTACACGCTTATACATATGGTATTATTGTAAAATTAAGCGTGCAAAAATACGCATTTAACTGTGTAAAACACAGATAAAATGTGTAAAATATAACACGCGTATAAAGTGACTACAGATTTACACACTTGGATTTGGAGTGTAATCAAACGTCATTAAACAATAAATTTCTTGATAATTTTTAACCTTTAGGTAACTATACATTGTGAAACTGGGCCTCAAACGCTCATATATTTCTAATACATTATCTTTAAAAAGTGACGAGAGAGAGAGAGAGAGAAATTAAATTCCAATTGAAATATTTAAGATAATAGAAGCCGCTTTACGTTATCATAATAAAATTGTTGATCCGAACAGTGACGGGAAAGAAAATAGCTGTGCGGTGATTGGTCTAGAATTAAGTAAATAAGAACGCATGCGAACGCGATCGAAAACGATTTCGCGAGGCCAGAGATAAGGGAAGCAACGAGAGGAGAATGAGGAAGGGGGGAGGGGAGGCGGGAGCGCGAGCTTTAATCGAATATCCCGAAATGCATCAGGTGCGTCGCGGAAGCCCTAAATGACAAAACGACTCGCGCGCGCGTGGCGCTTGCAGCATATAGTTTCGGGTTCTCAGCAGGGATTGGGGCAATACGTAGCGTAAACGTACGAGAGAGACAGGAAAGGGAGGAAAAACGGGGGTGGCTGGGTGGGAAGAGGACAGAGGACGGACAGAGAGAAACACAGTTACGACCCGCTAATAAGCCTCATTCCTCGATACGCGCGCAGGGAGAATAATTATGGGCTTGCGCAGTGCGCTCAAGTCTTCGGACGGGCAGGCAGGGGGTCGGGAAAGGGGTTGGCAGGACGAGGGGGGGGGGAGAGGAGAGAACCGGGTTGCCGAGAGGGTGACCGAGGAGAAATAAAGCCCCGAGCCCAGCCGGCGAATGCGGCCGCGCGTGCGGATGCTGAAATCTCGTTCCGCCCGCTCGTCGTCGTCCACGTCGTCCGCGTCGTCCGCGTTCTCCACCTCGTCGTCGCGGTCCCGCGTCTCGCGCGTGGTCCAACCACCGCCGAGAAACGTTCCCGCGGGAGAGAAAGAGGAGAGAGCGAAATCGAACGCGGATTCGCGCGCGGGCAGATACGCACGCGTGCGTGCGTGCGTGCGTGCGTGCGTGCGTGCGTGATTGCGGGTGTGCGCGCGCGAAAGGGTGCGTGTGTGTGTCTCGTGCGTGGGCACCCCGGGGGAGGAAGAGAACAAACCCCGGTGGCGGCTGGTGCGTTGTGCTACGCGCCGTGCGACACTCTCCGTCGGCGATGGCCTCGTTTCACCCCTAGACCTATATATATATATGTATATACACGTATATATACATATATATATATATATATATGTATATATATACACACACGCATCTCGCCCACATCGCTTCGCGTGACGTTCTCACCCCGGATATGCCGAGGCATGCGCCGTAAAAATCCCGGGATTGATGTATCGCAGAGCGCAGGTACGCGGCCCGGCATGCGGTGGCGGTGCATACGCACCCGCGTCTCGTGCGTTTGCATGCGTTCGCGCCGTCCGGTACGCCTCGATCGGCTTGCGATCCGGCTTACGGCCGGATTGTTAACGTGACACTCGAATAGATAAATATTAGGTTGGTGCGGAGGTCTCGTTCCATACTTCCATTCGGACTCTATTGAATCAAATTCGAAAAACCGAAAGAGATTGAAAAAATTTCTTTTCGAAGAAAGAGGATACATTCGAATCCGTTATGATAATTTTGCTCCAATTTCGTTCCAACTTCCGTATTAATATTTGGCAAATACGCACCAGCCTAATAATCAATTAATGTGTCCTAATTAAGTTAATTACAAAAAATATATCTTTGAATTTTTTAAATGTTATTTCACGATAATGCACCACTGCCTAAACGTGCTTCGACTTGAAAATGTCTAATAAATGAATTTTTTTGTTCCTTGTCCAATTTTTTTATTTTTATTTTTTTTCCCTCACTATTATCAATAAAATTGGCTTATCCATTATTATCATTTTTACTTATTCATTTAATTTATTCTTGAGATTTCCCTATCTTCTTGGAAAGATTTGAATCTATCAGATTTAAAATTAAGAGACGGAATGTACAATATGTGCTCGATATATACGAGTGAAAGTACACAATATTTTTTTTAATGCATTTTATATAACTATATACTTATATATAACTGCACGTATTTTAATTTCCCAGATCTGCATTTACTACCTGCTATGCATAGCAGCAGTGACCTTGACGTATACCTCCGACTTGGAGATTACTACAACGAGAAGTCGGGACTGTCCACCAGAATGTATTTGCCTTTCTCCAAAACAGGTAGAAAGCAACAGCTTGTAACAGCATTTCTTAATTTTTCGTAAGAATACGCGGTGTTTCTTTATTATAAATATCTCATAATTATTGAAGAATTGAAAAGAGAGGGGGAAAAAGTTTATTTGACAGCATATATTCACCCTTCTCAAAAAAAGGTCGCGGACTTTAAACAGAATTTAAACTTTCGAGGTCTCCGTATACGGAAATGAAATCTCCGCGATAAGCCAAAATGACATTTCGTATGATTATTTTTCGTAAATGTTGTCAACCAGCTTTTGTTGTAAATGTCACAATGGATAGTAATTACAACGATTTCCGTGTCTTCGTGCGCTCCATGTGAAATGAAACGCGGCTCTTGCGTTGCAGGTGCTCTGCAATACAGGCGGCCTCGAGGACATCCCGGCGCACCAGCTGCCGGAGACCGTCGAGGAGCTGTCGCTGACGAAGAACAACTTCCCGGTGATAAAGGGCGACGCGTTCGCCGGCCTCCGGGCTCTACGTAAGCTCACCCTGGACGGCAACAACATCACCTCCATACGACCGTTCGCGTTTCGCGGCCTGAACCGGCTGCGCGAGCTGTCAATCCAGCACACCCCGCTGCCGTACATTGAGAAGTTCTCGTTCGCCGCGCTGCAGAACGTCTCGGTGCTGCTGCTGGCGAACAACAAGATCCGCTACGTCGAGGGCTACTCGTTCGCCGGAACGTCGAACGTGAACGTGATCCTACTGAGCAACAATCCGCTGCTGACGATTCGCAGCCACGCGTTCGCCGGCCTCACCAACGTCAACAATCTCATCTTCCCGTCCGGCATCCGCACGATCGAGCAGGAGGCCTTCGACGGCCTCCAGTACGTCGGCCAGCTCAAGCTCAGCTACATGGACCTGTCCGGGCTGCAGGCTTACACCTTCCGCGGCCTCCAGCACGTGCACTCGATCTACATCCAGGAGAGCGACCTCGGCGTGGTGCAGAGGAACGCGTTCGCCGGCCTCAAGCACGTCGGCCGTCTCAACGTGCTCAACAACAAAATCGACCTGATCGAGCGTCTGCATCTGCGCGACGACAACCACATCGAGATCCTGCGCTTTCACGGCAATCACGTGCTGGAGGCGCCGCGCCACGCCAAGGACGTCATCCTCGAGGTAGACACGGTCAGCGCGATCGATAATCACTTCCCCTGCGACTGCCAGGCGCACAACGTCCTCGAGAGCGACTTCGCCCGCGGCAGCAGCGCCGAGTTCCAACGTCGCAACTACTGCATCTCGCCGTTCGAGTACAACGGCAAGCCCATGAACGTCGTCGACTTCGACCTCGTCGCGCGATGCCACGACAACGTGATCCAGGACAACTTGGGCTCGGGCGTCATCGAGATGTCCCGTTTCTCGGTGCTGCTGCTGATCGTCTTCCTGTTCGCGACAAACTTCTTCCGATGAGCGGTGTACTTGCAACTCTTCCGATTTCTTCGACGATTATTCCGCGCTTTTAGATGCTCGAGGCGACGACGAACGTCGAGAGAACGATCGTATATTTAATAAGTGCGCGCTTACTGCTGTACGGCCAGTGTCGAGAGGTCTTCCTCCTTTGCCACCTTCCTCGGCGGAATCTTCCTTCTGAAGCGGAGAGTCTTATTTGAAGTCCAGTGAAGTTGACGAAGCAAGAAGACGTTTCGTACACTAGGTATATTATCATCGTAAAGTATCGTATCAATCTCAAGCACGAAAGAAATTTGCATTAGAAAAAAAAAAAGAATTACGCGATTCGGAATAATCGACAAAATGCCGCAGACTTTAAATTAACTAGATCTCTACGAAGTTGTAATTAGCAGATGAAATTTCAACACCGCAACAAGGTATAAATTTGACTCATTAAAACGACAGACTAGAATCTAATTTTAATTTCTAACATTATAAATTAAGTGGCTTTAACATTTAAAAAGTAATCCAATCGTAAAGAATTTCTTTTGCTGTTTTCTAGTTTATTCGGAAGATTCTTTTGAATTTTTTCAAAGAAACTCATTTTTATCCAAATTATTATATTAACCATTCTCGCAACTAGCCTTGAAAATGTAAAGAATAACAAATTCATTAGCTTTTGCCTTTAATTCAATTATTGCGAAAAGATCCCATCCCAGAGAGGATTAAACGAGAGCTTTTTATAGATTGTTGTACGAGATGTGATATTTCCCGTCGTTAATCGAGAAAAATATCACCATTAAAGGGACACAAATAAAGAGTCGCAAAAAAACTAAAAAAAGATAGCAATAAACGAGCTCCTGTCCCCGTAACATTTGTCTGCAATATTATTCTCGATAATATCGGATCGAGATATATGAAACGTTTCCAGGCGTGACGAAAGATTTATTCGCGCGAAAAGCCACTGTTGCGGCAGTACGAGCGGAAAAAAAGAATGCGCGGCTAGTCATTATAATTAATGCCAAATGGATACATATCCTCTCTCGCACATATGAAAGTGAACAAAACGTGATCTCACATATCGAGAAGATCGTTTAGCGTCGAGAATACTTCTTCGTTCTCTTGGTAGAATAATTAAAGACGCGAGGAGCGCATAATTTTATTACATTTCATCTATCGCATCTGAAATATTGATATGTAAGTTGTTATTATCGTTTATTTTATATAAGAGAATTTTATATACACTGTTGTTTATATACCACTGCCGCGCATGTGGTTTAGTTAATGCGATAAATTACTTAGACGCGAGCTTTTCTTCTTTACTATCGTCTATTCTGTGCGCATTTGACGTTAAATATGCTCTCATTTTACGACAGCGAATGCATGATTTTTTTATTATAACTCATTAGAAATGTGTTTTTAGCGCTCAAATGCGTAACAACACGGGCCCTATGTGCACTTCCTTCATATTTTTTTCTCGCAATCGAGACAACAGAATCCGCGATATCACGATCGTCGATCGCGGATAGCGTCATGAGAGATAGAACATTATTACGAGCTTTAACTGGCCGGCAAACTGGACCAGCACTGTCGCATTCACTTGAGGCTTCGAACTTTGCGAGTCGTATACGTTTTTTAGGGACATTGAATAGGAAAAGTGAAAGTATAATAGAATTTTATCCGCTAAGCAAAGGGCCTCTGACTCGATTTTTTTTAATTACACACACACACACACACACACACACACACACACACACACACACACACACACACACACACACACACACACACACACACATATACACACACATTGTAATTTAAACATTAGTTACTAACAAAATTTCGCATTATGACATATCTTGACATAAAGATATAATATCGAGAATCTAGGCATATATGGATATATAATTTTGGAAAGCGAGGGTCTTACCTTTTAAATAGGTCCATTACAAATCTTACTTCCGGGTCCAGGAATCCGAGCTATGCGCCTATACGTTCACGCCTGCTTTACGATCCCATTAGTATAGGCTGAGGGATCATTTAAATAATTCGAAAATGAGATGAAAGTATCTAGCAATTAAGTATAATATGCACGTTTAATTGCGATGACGCGCAAGATCGTTGAAAAGGAATAGAGAATTCCTTTTGCATAGAATTACACGGTTTTAAAAAGGAATCGAAGGCTGAGACTATAATCTATTTTTTATCCTTTATCGGGAAATCAAAAATTCAAAAATAATTTTGAAGTAATCCGTTTGCAAAATGGTTTTGAAAATAAAATTATCTCCAATTTCGAATAAAAGAAAAAAGTAAAAATATCCCACCGAACAATTCATGTATCAGTTTTTGATTGTTCCTATTATGTTTTGATATATGCATTTTTGTCAAAATATTTTAATCCATGTATTCTTTAAAAATACAGTTTAATCCGTATATTTTCCGAAATGCAACGCATTTCGGGACGGAGTGGATAACAGTGTTTACAAAATGGTTTTGAAATTGAAATTATGTCCAATTTCGGATAAAAAAAAAAGATAAAATATCCCATTGTACAATTCAGTATCAATTTTCGATTGTTCCTATTCTGTTTTGATACATGTATTTTTGTTAAGATATTTTAAATACATTTTAATTCGCATATCTTCAGAAATTATGCAACGTATTTCGAGATGGAAGTGGATAACAGTGTATCACATGCTCAACACTTTAGACGAATAATTAATATGAATCCTTTTTTTTGTACGCATATACGCGTATATAAAGATCGATAGTAGTATCGACGAGATTTCCATTAACGTGGAATTCTTCTGTGACATCGCCACGCTGTCGATTTCGTCGGCGTTACCTTAGAAATTGCTTATCTATATCCCACACATTTGAAATCGCATGCAAATAATTTGCTTTTATCGAGGCCAGTAAAAATGCCGCATCATTTAATTAGACAAGGTACTGACTCCCTAAAAAGTCACGATATACGAAATGCTTCCGAGTTACATTTGATACTGTGAACAGCCGTATACACAGTTTGTATAAAAAATATTTACTGTGCCAACGTTTTCTATTTACTTGACATTGTAAATCGGGTAAATATTCAAGAATACGAAGGGAGAAAAAAAAAGAAAGTATCACAAGTAGGAAATTTTAAACGATATATACCACAGAACATTTTGTTCTTCGCGTAGTAATCGAGTTCGTAAAAAAAAATATTGCTTCATAGATAAAAATACATTGGCGTCCAAAGGCTATATATGAACTGAATCAGAGAGTTACGAGCGATAATGCTATATTATGCTTACAATTTAAAAAAAAAAACAAAAAAAAACACAATATAAAGCGTGTTTCGCTGCCATTCGTAATGGAAGATTTGCTTGGCCTTCGGTCAGCATAATAACCGAGGACCAACCTAGCTTATATTTTTTACCAATGTTTGAAATAGCGTTTAATAGACACCAATTATTGAAAAACTGTAATCTTTCATTGTAGTTAGAGTGTCCCGTCATATAATAAATGGAATAAACATTAATATGCAGTCTCGTATGATTTCTCACAATTGTCTAATGCCACTGAAGATTCCTCGGAAAACTCTTTCGAAACAATTTCTTTACCGTCGTGTGAAATGTGTGAATATTGTAGTAAGATTTTTCAATAAACCTGACTCGTATTATTCATCTGAAATTGATAGAACTCGTGGTATGTAAATATTTAAATAATTTAATATATATTTGAGACCGCGATATTTAATTAACAACATACTCTTTACAGCAAGTATCACTTAACAGTAAGAGTACACATTTCATTCTATATACTTATATTAATCTAGCACATTGTTAGAAAGCATTCAATGAATTGAAACGGTTGGTGGATTCGGAACAGGATCGAATTCGCCAACGCTCTCCATATATTGTACATCTTTACGGTACGGTTTCAACTCCCAGTGCATTCGTGATTCCATCGTCGTTAACGCGATGCCAAGATCTTCTAGAGTTGGCAATTCGTTTGATACTTTATCAGATATAGTTTCCTGTAAAATGCAATACGACAAATTTAAAGATACTTTTTAATTTATTATATAAATCGTATTCCATTAGTCTGCACGTTCTTTCATAGTAAAATTAAATTAACGTACCCTCTCCATATATTCCCATTGCAAATATCCCCATGGATATCCGGCAGATAAAAATTCGTTCAAACTAATTTTAAGTTTGAAAAGTGGAGCATATTTCAAGTCTACTCGCCTGTAGCCGTCTTCGACTGGATCATGTATCCGTATTCGATGGAACCAGTCAAGTAATTCAGACAGTTTGTAACGATTCGGCCTGTGCAAATAAAATATTCATTTTGAAAAAAAAAAAAAACAATCTAATGATAGAATTGTAGGGTGCTGTACTCGTGTCCATACCCGACAAACTGATAAGTCTTGCCAATTGTGTTTTTAGGATCCTTCGCAATAGCGGTAATACCTCCGGCGACGTCGTATACGGCCACTGGCTGTTTTTCCGTCTTTTCACCTTTTTCCCATAATGGTACAGTCCTACGAATGCATTCCATTGTCAGAGAATCGTAAAGGCATAATTTCTAATGGGCTGGAAAATATCATTTTCACGCAAAATTACCTGAAATGGTGTCTCATCATGTGGGAATACAGTTTTAAAAATCGATCCTCCTGACCCCATATATCCGCCGGCCGAATAATTGTAGCCTCGGGAAACTCTTCTCGCACTGCACACTCACCTTCCCATTTCGTGCGAAGAAATTGAGAACCGCCATCCAGTACGTGTGACTTAACATGGGAATATTAAAGCACGAAATTGCAAAAACCGTCATAATTTAATACGAAACATAAATGCAGTTCAATCTACCTCCAACTCGTCGCCTACGTTTAGGGCGGACACATGGATGAAGTGCTCGACATTCGCCTCCTTGCACAGTCTAGCGAGCCTCCTGGCCCCCTCGACGTGCACCTCGTGAAAAGTGAAGTTCTTAGTTTCCCAATCTCGTCCAATCAGATTGATAACCACATTGGAGTACTTGATGCACTTCCTTATCGACTCCTCGTCACGCAGATGAAACGGATGAAACAAGACTTGTCCCAAATCTCCGCAGAGCTTCAGTGGCATGCAATTGTACATATCACCTCTGTACGGTATTATTAACTGCAAATCAAGTAATAACAATCAATCGAAGAGCTGACTATATCGTATCTCAGTTATGTCATTGTATTGCAGTGGAAATTGCTGTCATAGAAATCTGTTGGCTTCCTTTCTTTCAAAGCATTATATGTACCTGGGTACCGAGCTTGCCAAGGCGATTGCAGACGTAGCGCCCGACGAATCCAGTTGCACCGAACAGCGTGCATACTATGCCGTTGAAGGAACTACGGCCACCTGTGCCTCTCTTTAAAGAAGCGGTGGTAGGATCTTTTATGATTCGTGGCTGCGACGAATAATGATTCGTCTGCACCGCAACGGCCGCGATGCATGTTGTCTGCTTTCCTGTGAAATACAAAAACAAATGTGAACCGTGTTGGTTATGTAATTGTGAAATGTTATCCGTCACACAGTAACGTAAAAAAAATTACAGGCGATTTTACGTAGAACGTTTACACACTTTGATTCAGGGAAAGAGACTAAATATTGCAAAAGGCAGAAGTAATCTGTCAATCTTACTTGCTGCTTGTAGAGTGTATCTCGGAATCAAGGCGGCCATCTTTTTCGGCCATCCATATGGACTGACGACTGTGCGGAATTCTTTGACAAGTGTTAACTAACACTATCAATTAGAAATATATTTTCAAAAGATTGAATGAGATGAATCAAATGATTTAGATGCTTGACCAGAAAAATTGTGTTATAAAAATTTATGTCAGTTTTTTTTAAACATTCTAAAATTATTATATTATATAACATATAGGTTTTTCGATCTTATTTTATATTATATTTGAACTATTTTCGTAAAAGTGAAATGTACAATAAATATTTCAAAACTTATGTTACTTGTCTTGCCAAATCATATTTAATTGAATTGAACAAAAATAATATATTGATTGTTGATATTAATATTTTAATTAATTTTGATTATACATCGAATATGATACATTATATATTTTCAGAAGATTGAGTTGAATCAAATGATTTAGCGCTGTTTGACTAGAAAAATTGTGTTATAAAAATTTATGTCAATTTTTTTTAAATATTCTAAAATTATAATTATATCATATAACATAGGTATCTCGTCTTTTTTACATTATTTTCGTAAAAGCAAAATGTACATACAATAAACATTTCAAAACTTATGTTTTTGTCTTGCCAAATAATATTTAATTGAATTAATTAAACAAAAATATTGATTACGTATATTTTTAGAACATATTCCTTAATTATATTATTAACGTTATAATTCACATTGCAAATCTTATCAAATAATTATGTTATCCAAATACTGTCGAAACAAACTTATAATATATAGTAGTACAATTATTGGAATATTATCGAAAATTCATTGGTTATTAAAAAAGTAAATATATCGGAAGAATATTTCTGCAAGAGATAACATGACATCAAAAAGACGATTTAAATTTTGCGACAGGAAAATCGAATTACTTTATTTATGAATTTTAGAACGCAATTAGGATGCGTTCCCACTGAGCGCGTCATACGTTGCGTCATCCGAATTGACCAATCAAAACATCCCATTTTATTGCGTAATTTGCTGCACGATCTGGGATTTCAAAGGAAAATTATAAAGGAATTACAAAGGAAGATTCTTTTATCTCTAGAATGTTGATTAACCTAATCGATGCGTCGCGCAAGGAGTCGCGCGGCAAATAATGCAATAAAATAAGATATTTTGGTTAATTAATTCGTGACGCGACGGCTGACGCGACGCGTGACGCGCTCAGTGGGAACGCACCCTTACGCTTCATCGAGCAAATTAGCGACTTCTTTCGGAATAGTTGTGAATTACAAGAGAGTAGTTTAAAAAAATATCCGATAATCTCTGCAATTACCAGTTTTCAAAACTCGTCGAAAGTACTGCGTTCTGCGACTGATCGAAGAATGAATTTTTAATACTTATTTTCAAATTGTGTTGAAAAGCGCGAAATTGAAATCAAATTTAGTTCACATCTCAAAAGTATTCTAATAATTTCGGATATTTTTGAGATTACGGAAAGACATATTCCAACTCCTATTATCTCCCGTCTGATCTCTAATGTTCTCTTGGTAATTTGGACCATTTGGACAAAGCGTCGTGCGCGATAGAAAGTTAGACTATCACCAATATTTCATGAGTAAGTAGAAGAGGTTATGTATTTCGCAAGAATTCTGCTAGCGAATATCTGACGGATTCTAACGTTGTTTCGCATATTGTTTGCAAAGTAGTGAACAAATGAACGAAACGAGTCAAAGTGACAAACAAAATTGCAGTAATTTTTCTGATCTATAATACATGTCAATGAGTATAATACATAGAATGCATATCAGTGAATTTTTCGGTTTGCAAACGTTCTTCGTATTGCTTGCTGATTCGTAAACAGTGCAGATCTTCCGCATTCCGATTTAAATGTATATATGTATTTCAAATGTTTATATTGAATCAATGATTTATGCGTGATTTCCATTTAGGAAATTGATCTGTCGTAATTAAATGTTTTAAAAATGTCGTTCCTTTCGCGATATCAACCCAGTAAACACCAATTAGTTACATGTAACGTACTTGTTAGTTGTAATTACCATTCAACAATATATAACTATAACAGTACATGTTACATGTAACGCTTGTTAATTGTAATTTCCCTCAACCACTCAACAATATAACTATAACAGTGTTACATGTAACGTACTTGTGAGTTGCAATTTCTCATTCAACAATATAACTATATAACATAACAGTGTTATGTTGAGTGGGAAATTACAAGTATACGTTACATGTAACTTGGTGTTTGCTGTTATGCTGTTATTGCTGAAACAGTTATGCAACTATGCGAGCGATGTGTATATGTATCTCAATTGTCATGTTTCAGCGAATTAAAGGGCCACAATAACAATGGCTAAGGCAGCTGTGTATAATTACATGAAAACGCAAAATAGACCTTACAGCGTGAATGACGTAGTCACAAATTTACACAATGAATACAACAAAAATGCGGTACAAAAGGCAATGGATCAATTGGTGGCGGATGGAAAGCTGTTCGAAAAGGTAAAACAAGATTTATAGACAGCCTGTCTAATGGAATATATAAAAAAAAATGCTAATCACAACTTGTCCTTAGGTTTACGGCAAACAGAAAATTTATTGCGCTGTCCAAGATTCAAAGTACGACACTGACGAGCTATTGAGGATCGACAAGGAATTACAAAATCATGCCAATGAGGTCGAAAACAAATATCAGGAAGTCGTGAAAGACATGAAGGAACACGAGGCACTTTTGGCATCTCTGAAGTCGAGTTTGACGTTGGAAGACGCTCAAAAAGAAAAGGCCGCGCTGCAACAAAGTGTAAAACAGTTGACGCATAAATTGGATGAGTTGATGGAAACGAATGCTTCTGAGGACTTGCAAGAGTCTAAACGGAAGGCGCAAGAGAATCTGGACGAGTACTCGCGCGAATATTTAAAGAGAAAGAAGATATGTATGGAAATCATAGACTGCATTCTGGAAAATTATACTGGTAACAAAGAGGAACTGTACGAGGAAGTAGGCATAGATTCAACGACTGTATAATAATCAGTGATAAAAGAGTTCTTAGTTTTACAAGTTGCAATTATTATATTTATTTTTCGTTTTCTTATATGTAAATTTCTTATACGTAACGTCATAGATATATTTAATGAACGAAGTGAAATGTTTTGCGTTGAAATGATTAACATTGAAATATCAAATTATTAATTTACATATATGTATAAAAAAATATTTATAAATTTGACTGTTGCAAGAATTACATATGAAAATACTCGTGGTAGATTAAATAGAATTACTTTAAGCTGTATAAGTAGCATGTCACGATATTAGTTGATTTTTAATTGTAGCAGACAAATCATTATTTATTTTGTGCGTTTATATTTTTTTACAATGTGTTGCGTTATATAGGGCATTTTGAAACTGTTATATTCTCTCTAATCATGGATTTTCTCGAATCATGGAACTAATATTCAAGCCAGCAATACACTTAATTACTATCTCTAAAATTACATTAAAATTTATACTGGGGAAATGAAAGTATTGAAAACTTTTAATTTTAGGAATTTAAATCGGTGAAAATTTAATTTGCAACTGAGAAACAAATTCCGCGTTAAAGTAGTGATTAAATTTTTGTAATCGAAAAATGCAATTTTTGTTTGTCCAACAGTATGTAACTGAGAGAGAATATGATAGTTTTTGAATTTTTGGTATATGAAATTACAATATCCTTACATTATTACAACAAATGTCTTCCTCATGTCTTTCTTTGTATTATTTACATGCCTAAACTACTATGTACAAATAATTGAAAATTTTCAATCAGGATATAATATATTCTTAAAAAAGAATATAAAATATATTCCTAACATAATATACGAAACATATAATTTTATTTTGTTATGTAATACCCCATTAAAGCAGCAACAGCGTAGAATGCAGCGGTAGTCATATCAGTGTGTACGGTGACCTGTAACATAAATTGGAATATTTATTTTAAAAAGAATTTATTATTTCCTGTGGAATTTTATTTTACTAGAAAATGCGTCTACATATTAAGAATAAGTGGTAAGAGTTAAAGATTCAAATGCAATTACAAAATGCGCAACAGTAAGTGAAGATCGAACGTTTGTTTTCATTAATAATACGATTTAAATGAATTTCAAACACATTCGCATTTTTATAAATATACTTTCAGTAAGTCGATTTTACCTGAATAACATTGATATTTATTTTCACGAGAGGAGTCCCTTCAGTCTGTCCTTTATTTTGCCCGCCAGTCCGTCCTTTACTTTGTCCTTTATTCTGTCCTTTATTCTGTCCTTCAGTTTTTTTAATAATCCAAACCACGGAATCTTTCTGATCGATTGAGCTTTGAACTGCGGCAGGTACTTCCTGAGTAACGATTCTTTGTCCTTAGGTATTACTCCTTCTAGCACGCATTTGCCGTTCAGGCAGATCTGAAAAGTGTCAGATAATAAATATCATGTAATCGCTAATATTGTATTTAATATAACAATTTCTTAGTTTTATTTTTACAATATTAACGTTATGGCTATTTCCCAAGCAGTTTGATATTTTAAATAACATTTGAAAAATAACAGAACTCACTAAACCGTCTCCGCAAGAAGAACCTTCCGCTGCTGGCGCGGTCGCTTTGCAAATGCCCTCGATATTAGGATATTGACACTCCAAGCCAGTACAGACCAATGGGTCTTTCTGCAAAGAACGTATACAGCGTTGTAAATTTCTTCAAAATTTTCCCAGAATAAAGTTGATTTTACATATGAAAATACATTGAAATTGTGACAGCTTTAACTTACGTTACACGCCTTCGTATTATCCCCGAAGACCTTTCTACATTGGTCATCCAAGGACATCAAAGTCCCGGGTAAAATACGCGTTATTGGTTCACCCATTTCAGGCTCGTTGTAAAGGCACTTCGCTCTGTCTTCGCTGAGAAATAATTCTTAAATTAATACCTATAATTAATTATAATTAAAAAAAGAAATATGCATCGTGTGGTACTTGATAAAATTGTAGAAGGCGTCTATGCTACACGAGGACCATTCGAAGCCGTTCTCGTGCAACATCAATCCGCTGCCCATGATGAAGCCATCATGAGCTGAACAATCTCCGGCGCCCTTCGGATTGCCGTCGTGACGTGCCCCTATCCTGCAATGCGAAAAAATCGTTTTATCATTGAAAGTTTCTCAAATTTATAATTGAGTAACCATATATATTGTATTACTATGAGATATATATGTATCTTTTTTTTTCCTTACATATGTTTATAATTATCGTTAATGATACAAAAATGATCCATACATCTCTTTCGCGCACAAATTGCATAGGCTGCGTTCCATTTGGCGCTTACAGCTGGTTACAGCGCTCACAAAATCATTTCCTTGTTGTTTATCAAATATTAAACAAAGACAAATGATGCTTATAAGCGCTGTAAGCGCCAAGAGGAACGCAGCCATAGTATATTGAATTCAATTATTAGTCAAATTATTGACCAAAATTCAATGAATTTCAATAAATATAATTCATTGAGTTTCTTTTTTTTACGTTGACAGAAAAAAAACTATGCAAAATGTATGCAAACATTAGACTTACAGATGGCCGATTTCGTGAGCCGTAGGAATGATACCGGAAAATCCACCGTTGTCCTCAACGATTCCAACGGCCTCGGATGATTGCTTCGTTGCGTTTCTGTCGCACGCACCGGCTACATACGCGTAACCTGCGGCCGAAAAATTCAACATTATTTCATATTTTTGTAGAAGGTCATAATTAAGATATACGCGGAAAAACAGCCGCGTTTGCCATACTGGCCGTACATATAATGATATTTTGATAGACTTACCCAAAGTCGACGTGTCGCAATAATCATCAGTGATCATATTGCACATATCCAGACTGAAATTATATCGAATTATTTTTTTTGTCGTTTACGCGCTTATGATTTTTGAGTGATTTCAGAAATGAAGGCAGAAACGCATGGAAAGTACCGGGTTATACTTACTGTGTCATAGCGATCGCCATGTCGTAAAAATCTTTTGGAAATCTGCTCTCGCGATAAAAGTAATCTGCCATGCCGCGTAAAGCACGATCCGCGTCTAAATCTCGTTCTGAAATTTTGATACGACTGTTTTCTAGATACGGAATCGCATCCTTGTCCTGAAACACAATGAAGTATAAGTTAAAAGTAATTTTGAAAATAACAAAATGCATAGTACATATATTAAATATAATATAATAAATACACGTAATATTTGACTAACAGAAATTGTTATCTTCTTTTGGCTTTTGATGCAAAATATAATTGGAAAATATTTATATGCTGATGTGATACACACGTATTTCAGTATAATGAAGTATTTAGTATGCTAAGCTGTGTATGTTAAGAAACTTACCACGCCTATAATTATTCCTGCGATATTAAATCGAATTTTCGGTGTGGTTAGCAAACGATACCTCAAATCAACTCCGTTCCAAAACGCGACGAGATATTTTACGACCTGCTCGATATTTCCGCCAAGTATTCTGCAATAAAAATTAATATTGTATTAATAAAATTAATAATAATATTGTATTAAAAAGTAACATATGTTTGTTAGAGAGAGAGAGAGAGAGAGAGAGAGAGAGAGAGAAATCATGATTGTTCGTAGTCCGACCGAAATTTCGGTTTTGGTTTCGATTACGGCCAGTTTCGTTAAAAAATCAGGGTTTTGTTTTGTTTTCGAGCCGAAATTAAGAAAGAAAATTTCGGTAAATCGAAACTAACTATTAGTTTATAACACACCGACGACTTGTAACACAAATTTTGTGAGAAATACTTAAGATATTGATAATATATATTTTAATAAGATATTATAAAATCTTATTTTTTTAAAAATATATAAATTTCACATGATTTCCTATGATTTTCTGAAAATCATACGGCTTTGTAAGACTTATTCAACAGTTTCGGTTTCGGTTTCGGTTTCGGCCTAGAAAATGAGCAAAAACTGAATATAATTCATTTTCGGTTTCGGCCAAAACTAAAAAAGTGGTTTTGGTCTGTAATTTTTCGCAATTTATAATTGATGTTATTTCACTTACTTATATATGCTGTAGTCGGCCACTATTATAAATTCTGGATAAATGGTGTCCGGGGCATTGCGTTTCTCTCTTTTCTCGCTCTTAGGATCTGCAATTTCTAAAGAACCAGAATAAGTATTAATAAGAGACACACGCGCGAACTGAAATTTGCGCGAATCCAGAAAGGAATATACCACGCGAAATTCTTACGCGGGCACTCGAATAGCTTACTCAAATCTGCGTAGTGATCCGACGAAGGTACTTTGTAGACTACGTGATGATGCGTGTAGGCGAAGTCATCGTCGCTCGTCACGTTCTTCGTGTGAAGTGGCTCGAGGAGCTTCTGTCCTCCATAAAGAACGTGCCTCAGAATTCGTTGCGGCAGAGATTTGATTACAAATGTTTTATTAAGTACTCCATCCTGCAGAAATAAAAGCGTCGTTGATTTACGTTTATAAAAAAAAATATTTGATAGCAATTAACTGCGAAGTGTAATAGAGATGCAATTAGAGGGTGCTCTTACCAAGCTTATTTGACCGTCAACACTGGGAGTTAGTAAAATCGAGCTTGAACTTCCTACGTCTTGATACGTGACTCCAAGAGAATCCATGGCCTACGTAAATCGATAAATATAATCAGTGAAAATTTTCCACATGTACCTATCTCGTGCAAAGTACTTATAATATTCTTTTTTATTATCGTAAAAAATATTATAAAGATTGCAGGGTTGGGTAGTGCCTAGTTAAAAATAAAATAAAAATTAAGATAAAAATTAAGTTAAATTATAGTTAAAAAGATAAATAATTTTAATTTAACTTGTTAGTTACATTTTAGATTCTTAACTTTTAATTTAATTTAGTTACATTTTATCGGTAACTATTAACTTTTGATTTATCTTTCTTGAAGTTACATTTTTAATGCTTCTTGTAAACCCAAAATAAAATAAAATTAAATTAAATGTCTAAGTTAGTGTCTTCAAACTCAAATTTGAACATGAGAACATACATCGCAAGGCAATTGTAATAATATAATAAATTTAGTCTGACCGCGAGAAGAAATCATTGTTCGCGGACCTTCTATGCAATAAATCACGTTGGAAGAAGTCCTTCGAAATCGGTCCTCTTTCCGCGGCTCGACAGAAATAAGTATAACAAATATACACTTTATTTAGAAACTTTATTTAGAACCTCTAAAATTATAAAATGAAAAAAATTTAACTTTGACTTTTCAATTACTTTTTTTATTAACTTACCTTTTAATTCAATTAATTTTATTATAGACTAACTTGTATCTTAACTAGTTAAATTTTTAAGACTGTTATAACTTTAACTTAGTTTAAAAAAAAATTAACTTACCCTAAAAATTAAGAGACATATACATACCTTGGGTACTCGTTTGTATTGCAATCCTTCGGGTGCTTCCGGATTAGATGAAGCGATCCACACGGGCGTATTCTTATTGGCGAGGATACCTTCCGTAGGAGTCAAGTACAATTTCACGTCATCATTGAAGATCTTGAGCTTCAACTCTTTCTTGCTTTCTTCGATATCTTTTTTTGTTATGCGATGCTGTACGGGTACCACTTCGTACTCAGGTACTGAAAGTTAATATAAATCGAGATTACGCAAAAACTATATAAGACTACTATTCCGTAATATAATTGTGATTATGTTATAATGTTATTAATTATATATAAATTATAATTATTATTGATCTAAGAAAAATTTGAATAATTTATAGAAAAAACAGAAAAGTGTTTCAAGAAAGTACTATGAAAGTGAAAAAAAAAATTTCTCTATAGAAGGAAGTCGATCTAAAAAAAATTTGAATAATTTATTAAAAAAAACAGAAAAAGTGTTTCGAGTAGAGGTGTGCGAATCAAGCATTTGCATAATCCAATCGAATCGAACCGAATCTGAATCCAATTTTCCCAGATTAACATTACATGTTAATTTAAACATAATAAATATCAAAATTTATGATTTACATTATTTTACGCAATGATTTAAACAAACTGAAGACCTGTTTTCGATTTACATCTCATTACAAAGGATCATGATCTTATGTAACATTTTAAACTAGAAAATATTAATATGTGTATACACGAATAATTAGAATGTTTTCGAATATTTTATTAATCTATATGAATACATTACATATATCAAAAATACTTATTTATTAGATAAGAATAATTGGTCGC